CAGGCCCTTCTGGGCTCCCAGAGAATGACTCTGAGGGGCCCCACTCGGAAATGGCACTTCCTTCTCCCACACCCTCACATGCCCCCTGCAGGAGGGGACCTGGCCCCCTGCTCTTGGCCTGACTCTACTCCTCTGTCTGGTCCCAGAGACTCAGGCTATGGCGCTCATGCCCGAGGACAGGGACGCTGGAGCCACTCACCACGCGGTACTGCTGCAGCGTCTGGGCCTCGCGCTGCAGCCAGGCCTCCAGGGACACCTGCTTCTGCTGGAGGGCCGTCTCCCGGCTCAGACGCTCCTGAGGGTTCAGCTGGGCCAGCGGGGCAAACTGAGCTGCAGGAGGGGACAGGACACCCATGACCCTCACTTCCAGTGTCCAGCAGGAGGCCTAGAGGGGCCACACTCGCCTGTCCTGAAGCAAGACCCTCAGGGATCAGAGAGCCCACCAGTGGAAGTCGGGGTTCCTAACATCCCAGTGCCTCTGGCCTCCCAACTCCAAGCTTCTCCTCAGGGGAGTGGGGAGATGGGAGTGGAGCCGAGGAGGGTCCTGCGCTGTGGTCTACCCTCCATCCACCCCACATGGCTGGCCGCCCAGCCCTCCCACAGGGGGTCCAGCTTGGAGCCAGACCACCTGGGTCTGACGTGTGCCCCACCACCTACTAGCTGGGGGAACTCAGGCAAATCACTTTACTCTCCTGTGCCTCAGTTTCCCCATGCATAAACTGGGAGAATCATGGCATCTACCTCAGGGAGTTGCTGTGAAGATTAAATAGATGATGATACGGAAAATGCTCAGGAAACTGCAGGGCACGTGCAAGCTCTATGTGGGATTAGCTCTCACTGGTTGACTACGTGTCTGTCCAGGTTGGGGGACTGTGAACTCAGCTGACTAACCAGGAAAGAGAGAGACAGACAGACCGACAGACAGCCAGAAAAGGGAGAGTGTGTCCAGGGCCCACTGGGGACACGATACAGCCAGATTCTCTCAGGAAAAGGAGGGCGGGGGAGGCAGCTTCCCTCCACACTAGCTGTTAGGAATCCCATCCATGGCAGGAACAGGGAGACAGTGAGGGCTAATTACCTTTTTCGAAATTGCTATTATGAAACAGAAAGAGTAATACAAGGAACAGCTGTGCATCAACAGCCCAGCTTAGGAAATCAAACATTTCCACAGTGGACACCTCTGCCCACCCTCCCCTGCTGGCAGATCCATCCCTCCCTCCTGATAACCGCTATCCTAAGTCCTGGCATTACTGCTCCCTTCCAATAACCTTTCTGAACAGCCCAGTCTCCTTGCTCGGGCTGAGTCAAGAAGACGTGCACGTCAGCACGTCTTGGTTGAGTCCTGACTGGCTTTTGAGGGCCATGTCACACTGAACTAGTCCCTGCCCCATGGAACACACAAGATGGGACAGACAAAATCCACTCTAAGGCAGCCAGGTCAAGCCTGGATCCAGAACTTAGACAGATGGTTCCAATCTCATGGCTGAGTACTGAGCAAGATGCGTGTTATCCAGGCAGGAAACATATCAGAGTAGTCTGGACGGCTCCCTTGGGAATCCTGCCCACCCACGGGGACGGCGGTGGTGATTCCCACACCTGGACTCAGCCTCCCCGTGCAAGTGACCCACTTTGGTCTCTCCTGGCAATTTGCAGAAGTTTCTGGGAAGGAGGCCACAGAGACGTGAGGCACCTGCCCTGCTCTACTGGAGGAAGCTGAGACTCCCCTCGCAGAAACAGATTGATAGTCGGTGTTTTTGGTGACTGAGCTTGATAAATGAGACTGAACTACAGTCTATGATGGGTAGAAACCCAGATCAGAATCCAAACTTAAACCCATGCCCAGGAAACAGAAAACCCAAGTACAGGATCATAAACACTGTCAACAGTCAAAGGACAAGAATGGAAATAACAGCCTGAAGTCTGTTCCCACTGTAGAAAGGGGCTTCCTTTTCTCCGGGGTCAGTCTGGGATGGGTTCAGATGGAAGATATGCTAGAATCATGCTGCCAACATTTACTGAATACCTACAGTATTCAGGCATTGTGCTGGCCTCGGGGTATAGTAAGCACTGACAGGACAGGGTGAGGAAGATATGCTAGAATCATGCTGCCAACATTTACTGACTACCTACAGTATTCAGGCATTGTGCTGGCCTCGGGGTATAGTAAGCACTGACAGGACAGGGTTAGGAGTGGAGCTTAAAGCTAGAATCATGCTGCCAACATTTACTGACTACCTACAGTATTCAGGCATTGTGCTGGCCTCGGGGTATAGTAAGCACTGACAGGACAGGGTTAGGAGTGGAGCTTAAATAGTTAAATGAAAATGGAATTCTAAAAAAAAATTAAATATTCAAAAAAAGGCAAAAAAGGAGGAACAGAGGAACAAAAAACAAAAAGGGACACAACAAAATAAATATTAAAATGATAGACTTCAACACAATTATGTTCACAGTTACACTAAATGTTAATGGACTAAACATCTCAATTAAAAGCAGAGATTGTCAGAATAAATACAAAGCAAGACTCAAGTATATGTGTCTACATTTTAAATTTTAGAAAAAGAATGGATAAAGACATGGTGTGCAAAATGTAGAATAAGAAAACTGGAGCAGTTACATTAATATCTGATAAAGTGGATCTCAAGACAAAGAGCATTACCAGAGATTAAGAAAGACATTTCATAATGATTATGGTATCAATATATCAGAAAGTCACAATAGTTTTCAATGTACATATATCTAATAATAAAGCTTCAATATATATAAAGGAAATATTTACAGAATTAGTTGGAGAAGTAGGCAATTCCACAGTCATTACAGATTTTTATACATCTGTTTCAGCAACTGGTAAAACAATTAGGCAAATAAGTAAATAAAGACATAGATCAGTGGTTCTCAAAGGGTAGACCAGGTATCCCTGGAAAGTCACTGAAACCTTTATGGGGATCCACAAAATCCAAACTGTTTTCATAAGTTCATAAGACTCTATCTGCCTATTTCACTCTTAATATCTTACAGTAGACTTTTCCTGATGCTACAAGACATGTATCACAACAGACTGAAAACAAGGTCCAGCTATCTCTTATTAAGCCTAACTTTAAAGAGAATTGCAAATATTTAAAGCAATGCCACTCTATTTACCCATTTTCAGTTTGGAAAATATAGATGTCATATTGGTTTTTTGTAAAATATTACCTTTTATGTTAACAATATTGAATTTATTGCTTCTATTTTTCAATGAAACAACCATAGAACATACACTCTCTTCAAAATCACAAAATGCATTCCCAAAATGGAACACATGCTGGGCCATAAAATTAGTCTCAATAAATTTACAAGAACTGAGATCATACAGAGTATGTTCTCTGATCACAGTGGAATTCAATAACAAGATGATATTGAAATCAATAATAATACAACATCTAGAAAAAACACTTGAAAATTAAACACACTTCTAAATAACCTATGGGTAAAAGAATCAATCACAAGAGAAATTAGAAATATTTTAAAGTGAATGATAATGAATATACAGTATATCTTAAATTATGGGATGCAGCTAAACCAGTGCTTAGAGGGAAATTTATAGCTTTGAATATACTTCTGTATGTATATATATGCATATACATACATACATATATAGCAAGATTCAACTATGTGCTGTCTACATATGAAACATGTACATAGTCTAACAGCAATAACCTAAGGTTCTGCCTTATGAAGTCTGAAGAAGACAGCAAAGGAAAGGGCAGGCTGGCGCTTCTTGTTCTCACTAGGATGGGGTAGTATATTTCTGGGGTCAGTCCGGACTGAGTGGCCATGTCTCAGAATCCTCAAATTGTACCTGCAGTTAATTCCTTCTGAGTTAATGTTTTCTTACCCCACACCCTTATCTTGCCAGCCACTGGCAAACAACAGCCAGGAGACAGGAGGAATCATTTCCACTGTCACCCTCTCCCCACGACCACATTCTATCTGTGAGGCTCAAAAGGGGGCACTGCTAGAGTTCCGCCTCTCCCCAGCCTGGTTCAACCAGGGGACTCCCAACACAAGTCCTCCGTCTGGGTCGGGAACACTTTGCCCACATCCATTCATTTGTTTAGATATTCACCAAATACCTACACTTAGGGAGAGAATATTGGTTGGTAAAGTGCAGGGATTTTATGACATTTCTCTAGTTAAAATCCAGTTCTGCCACTTATTGGCAACCTAGACCAAGTTATTTGTTTTCTTTGAACCTCAGTTTTACCCTCTACAAAATGGGGGTAACACAACTATTTAGTTCACAGGCTTGTTGTGAGGGTTTAAATGAATAATACGCAAAGGGCTTAGCCCATGGCAGGGGTTGCACCACAGGGAGACATTACTCCCACCAGGCTTTGGGCAAGGTGCTGGGGAGATGGACGCCACCCCAGCCCCTACCCTGCAGGAGCTCACGGAATGCTCCTCTGTCCCCTGCCCGGGCACACAGGGCTCACGCTGCCCCCACCTCACCTTGGATCCTCAGGCTCTCCTGATACTGGATGATGAAGTACTCCTGAGTCTGCTGCAGCTTCTTCAGCTCATTCTCTGTGTCCTGTGTGACCAGCCGCAGCTCCTCAAATGTCTGGTTGATCTGAAGGTGCTTCTGGGACATGGCGTCAACCAGCATCCCAGCAGGAGAGCTGCACTGGAGACGGATTGAGCAGAGGTAACAGGGAATAGTGCACGGGGCAGAGGGTGGGAGAAAACCTCAGGCCTTGGGGGTAAGAAGGAAGGATCGTTTGAATCAGAAGGGTAGTCTTTTTCCAGAATTGGGTGGAAAGCGGAAAGAGAGAGGAGAAACAGGTAAGCTGGCAGATAACGGCACCTTCCTAAGTAGAAACTTCTATCTCAAATCAGGCCTCCACTAGAGTATTCCAAAAAGGGTCCATCTAATTCCCTTTGGCGGGACTAGAACTGAATACATCCCAGGTGTCATCTGGGTTTTTCTAATGATGTTCACTTCTCATTCCACATTTATTCACTGACCCAGTGCCACAGACTGTGCTAGGTGCTGGGGACCTCCACTAGAGTATTCCAAAAAGGGTCCATCTAATTCCCTTTGGAGGGACTAGAACTGAATACATCCCAGGTGTCATCTGGGTTTTTCTAATGATGATCACTTCTCATTCCACATTTATTCACTGACCCAGTGCCACAGACTGTGCTAGGTGCTGGGGACACAGCGGGAACAGGGCTGTGTGAACACACATCGTCTGTCCTCACTCAAGACATGCTTGTGACCGAAGGGAGAGGGAAGAGACTGAAGCTCTCACAGATGTCCTGGAAACCCCAAAATGAAATTACAGGGCAGGCATTACAAGGCCTCCTCAGATCCAGCCGTTCCTCCAGCACCGGACTGACAGGGAACCAAGTCTTCAGGGTCTTTCCACTTAACTCTTTTCAGAATAAAATCAAATCCCTCCCCACAGCCTCTGCTGGCCTAGCTGGCACCCGCTGCCTATCTCAGCCCCCAGCCTCACTGCTTCTCGAGCACAGCAGCTGTGTGTGCTTTCTGTTTCTGTTCCTCGAGCACACAAGCATGTTCCTGCCTCAGGGCCTTTGCACTTGTCCTTACACCAGTCTGGATCATTCTGGCACCAAACCCTCCTGAGGTAAGCACTTCAACAGGTTCATTTCAGAGGGGCCTTCCCCATGGGCCAATCAACAGTAGCACTGCTCTCATCTGTGAGTGTCTTGTTCTTGTATTTACTTCTTTCTGATCTGTCTCCCTGCACAAGCATGTGAGGTCCCCAGGTACTAGGGCCTTTCCTGTCCTGTGCACCACAGAATTCCCAAGGCCTAGAACATCAGAGGCATTCAAGAACAGTGTTAGGGCTGGGAGAAAGACTGATCCCCGGACTACAACACCGCCAGTGTCATAGGTATGTATTTCTCAGTCAGGACCGAGTTCATTTGTAGGTTTGCGGGCAGCTCTGTGATTGCAACAATTCAGGGGACACAGGGGCTATGCTGGAAGACCCTTTGTGAGCCGGCTTCTGCCCCCCTCCAGCTTTATCTATTGTGACTCCCCAGTTACAATGACTACTCACCAGTCTTCCAATGTGATAAGACGGCTAATGCCTTCCTGCCCTGGATATGTTGTTCTCACTTTTGGCTAGAGAACTCAGCCCTCCTCCTTCCTGCCCTCTTTCCTCACTGTAGTTCAGACATCCCTTTCCTCAGGCCATCCCCCTGCTAGCCTGCCCCAATTCGAGTTGAATACTGTTTCCATATATGCGCCCTCAGCACTCGGCTCACCTCTAGAGAATCTGTCATTGCCAGAATTCCTTCTAGGCAGGGACCAGGTCTTTATGTGTTTCTCCAGTCCTAGCCCAGCAACAGACACACAGTAGGACCTCAATCAAAGGTCTATTCAGTGAACTGTAAAATTCCTGAAACCAGTCTCTACAACAATAAACAAATATTTCCCAGACCCCAGTCACCATTCTAAGGTCTTTAATTATGGTATTATCACTTAATGAAATTCATTTTGCTTTACTGCAGATAACAAAGCATTTGTACCATGGTCCATGCAGATGTTCAACGCCTTTATGATTTCTGAACATGAGAAATGCATCCCCAGCCCCTCTCCCTGGGCCTCACTTCTCTGACCTGCCTGTGTTATTTCTTCCGACACAGACCTGAGCTCCATTTCTCCTCACAGATGCCACCAGGGTACATTTCTTTTTTTTTATTTTTATTTTAAATTTTTATTATTTTTTTGAACAGGGTACATTTCTTATTTTGGTTCCAGCCTGATTTATTAATTTCCGTGGTGATTGGTAATGTCATCTCTGACACTGCACAAGTTTCCCGGTGTGTGTGTGTGTGTGTGTGTGTGTGTGTGTGTAGGGTTTCCTCTTCTGTTCCACTGTTGTTTGTCTATCCCTGGACCACATATTATCTCATTTAATCCTAATAATAACCCTATAAGGTAGATACTATTACTGTCCTCACTCTCCAATAGAAGAAACAGAGGTTCAGAGAAGTTGAGCAACTTGCTCAAGTCACAAAGCTAGTAATGTGGCAGAGCCAGCGACTGAGCGCAGGGGTCACTCCACGCCAGCGTGTCACACTGCCTCTCACACTTGCCAGGACTCTTATTTCTTTGGTGCTCTCCTCATGCTAGTGTTTTATATAAACACAATTGTGTCTGCAGAGAAAAGTGTATGGAAGGACTTCCCAACCCCTCTCCCCATACCTTCTGGACACTCACATTGTTGGCTTCTCGGACCAGCCTCTGTTCATTGTACAGAATGTGCCGGATGCAGCGGACCAGCTCCATGGGGCAGCGGTCATATGTGTTCTGAAACAATCCGACAGCAGTCACCAATGGCCACCCTCTGCTCCCAACATGCCCATAGCAGTGCCATGACCACCCCTTCCTCTTTTTCAGCCCCTGCCTCGGCTCTTCCCATGAAGCCTCAGGAACTATCACAAGACACCTCTCTCCCGCCTTCCCTGGACTTCCCCTCCCAGATCTTCATATTTGGTTTTGCAGTGAATTAGAAACCCACAGTTTACAAAGCACTTCCAATCTACCATTTCCTTTGACTCTCACAGCATGGAAAACCTACGAGATTCGCAGAAACTACAATCCCCATCTCACAGATGAGAAAACTGATGCTCAGAAAGGTCAAGTATTTGTCCAGAGGCAAACGAGTAAGCGAGCAGATGACTGAAGACCCAGGGCATCTGATGACAAGGTCAAGGTACTTTCCACCATACTCCTGCCCCTCAGTTCCTATTTTGCTTCCCCTTAGATTTCTCCTCTTTCCTCCCTCTTCTGCGAGGGACTTTTATTTCCCTGGCACCCTGCTGCTTGTATAAGGACTCTCTAAAAAACACAAGTGAGTTCCAATAAACACTTGACGGTGATTACCACCCACACCTCTTTCCTGCTTCCACAAAACCCGTCTTCCTGGATACCCCCAGGCCCCATGTAAAGGAGAATCTACACCTTATTTCTAAACACTTGATTCAAAGCCTTCTTACCCAGCTCTTGCCTCCAGGGCAGCACTGCCCCTCTCTCACCCCAGTCAACAGTTCTCCCACCTTTAAAAGAGCCCCATGAGGGATGTCTCATTGCTTCATTCCCTCATTTCTAGAATCTGCCAGTCTTCCTTTCTCCTCCAAAAGAATCCTGATTCAGTCTACCTCCATCCCTCCTGCTTGATCTGTCTATAATGGCAGCTCACCCATCCCTTTTCTGTTGGGAGCACCCCCTGCCAACACACCCCTTGCTTTGTAATATGTTAAAGGAATCTGACAGGTCTCAATTAGAAAGAGGGGGTGGGGGAAATTGAAGAAAAGTTGCTGATAAGTTCATGGTCACATGATGAGTCAGTGGCTAAGCCAGGAAAAAACCCAGGAGTTCTGATGCTGAAAGAAGGCGGACTGCCGCCCTGCTCACACCCACCTGGAGCTGCGTGGCATAGTGCCCCAGCTTGATCTTCAGTAAAAATCCATCTTCCCCCACCTGGTGCTCCGCCTTCTTCTGCAGCTCTTGCACCAGGCCCTCCAGGAGCTGAGTGGCCTGGGCTCGGTCCTGGGGATTGTCCAAGTCAATGGCATCCCTTGGGGGCAGGGCAGGGAAGAGAAACCTACTGTGGTCCCTCTTGGGCAAAGAGGTCATGCACCGAGAGTGAGTGGAAATACCAGGTTTGTGACTAATGGTACTTACTCCGGGGCCCACAAGACTTGCTCCTGGCAGCTCCACAGGCAACAGAGTCTAGAAACATCCTCTCTTCCTCCTCAGGCTCCCCTTTCCCTCTTCCCCTTTCCCAGGGACGCCGCCCCTTCCCCCTTCCATTCAGAGGACAGACAGAACCAGAGTCACACTAAACCACAAAGAGGAGATCTAAAGGCCAAGAGACCTGGATTGTAGGGACCTGCAGAAGAAGGTGCAGAGCAGGGGCACCTACCACCGCTGACTCTCAATCCACTGTGCCAAGTAGTGGCGGACCTCGATGGGGAAGTGCTGCCCGTACAGCACCTGCATCTGGCGCAGGGCATCTCCCTGCAGCTGCTGTGCCTGAATCCAGCCCGCCATGGCCGTTCACCTAGGGCGAGCAGAGGGCTGAAGAGGTGCCTGCCCAGAAGCTGAGGGCCGGGCCTACCCCGGCCCCGCCATGCCCACCATCCCTGAACCGCAGTCAGGCCCGGCCCCTCCTCTCCCGCAGACACGCTTTCCTGTGTGGGAAGAGAGACGGCGAGGAGGGGCAGGCCGCCCTTCCCCTCCAACAAGGAGTCCGCTGGGGCTGGGAGGGTGGGGGCTAAGAAGCAGGCGCCCTCCCCGTCTTCCTCTCCCCTCGCCCCACCGGGGCTTCCCCAGGGGGTGATGGCTAGAAACTGAAAGGGAAACTTGGCGGCGGCGGCCCACGGGCCCTCTAGAGGGCTCCGAGAACCCCCCCACCCGCCTCGGACCCCAAGTCCCAGCTTCTGGGAAAGGGGGACATTCCAGCCCAAAGCGAGGGCAGCGCGGCGCGGCTGCCACTCGACGGCTCGGTCCCCTC